GCTTCAACTCGCCTAGGGCACCAAAATGGCTAGAGGCAGCACTGTTTGCATTTATACATAACAAAAATAATTAAAAAAAAACATAAAGCAAGTAAGCTGAAGATGAATAAAACTGAGCGGTCATAGTTTTAGTTGACACATAAAACTGTAGTTCAGCTTTAAATGAAAACAAAAATACCAAATAAAGAAAACTCCTCAGAAAAGAAACACACTGCTTCTCTGCTCAGCCATGCGTAAATAATCCAGCTTTCAGTTGTGCTTCGGGCTGAAAGTTTTCTTTTTTTTTCACATTTCCTATTCTTGATGAGAAACTGGGAATAATTGAGATGGGGGTGGGGGTGGTGGTGGTGGTAGAAATTGTTGATAAGAAAGTGTGAGTCAGTTAGAGGATTTTTCAGGGCTTTGGTTTGTGTATGTCATGTTGGAGGAAGAGAATTAAACCAGAATAATTCAGCTTTGAACCACTTTAATTTATTCACTGTTGACACTGGCAACTTCAGCGAATGGTCCCACTAATGACAGACAGAGAAACGTGGAGCGCTTCCTCTGCCTGACGCACAGGGGAGGGGAGTTATCTCTTCACCAGAGCAGGAGATGGATCAACGGATCAGACCTCATCTGCTGCATTGAAGGTGTTGCTCTTTGGTGAAGAAAGGGCTGAGTTGACGGGATTTAGTGGTCAGTGTATGCTCCAAAACATCACCTGTGGTCATGAGTTAGAAATAACAATAAAAATATTAGGAGGAGGGGGGATGGGGTGAAAAGAGGGGTGAGATTCCCTCCATGAGCTGCTGTCCCTGCAACCCAGCCATGCTAAAGATGGATGAATGATCCTTTATGCTYAGCTAACTTTTACATTTTTGGCAGAGGGCAATATAACAGCTTGATAGCATAACAATTTGATTTTTTTTTATTGAAAATGTTTAGTTCCCCTCGTGACCCTAAAAGGAAGAGGATGGATAGTTTAGTTCTTAGAAGACTCCTAACTGTGCCTATCAGATTAAATGTTTATACAATAATTTGGAGCTCAGCAGCTCAGTGCTTCTACCTTGTCATCCTGAGATTACAGGTTCAAGCCTAAGTTGCATCAGGAAGAGTCGACCCTTTAACGTGAGTTTCACTCACTGTGGCGACCCCCTCCAGAAGAGAGCATCTGAAAAACAACAACAACAACAACAACAACAACAACAACAACTAAGAAGACATCTTGACTTGAGGGAAATGAAATGGGATGTCATGAAAGATGTTTTGCTTAAACTGTCATTTTCAGAAAAGGGAAAGTTATGAAAAGCAATAACATAACATTGATGTKGTGGGTTTTTAACATCGCACAAAAACAATACATATTACAGTAGTGCTTATATTTGTCCTCTAGGACTTTAGTTTATTTTGTGTGTATAAATGTAAAAAAAAGGATGAAAAGCAAATAAGATGCATTCGATGAAACTGTAATAAAACCTATAGAACACCCCATGTGTGGCTGGAGGCTTTCTTGTCGTTTTCACCCATCCTGATGCTATGACAGAAGAAATGTGAAAACTACATTTAGAAACAGGAGGAAAACATGAGATGTTTCTAAATGCTAAAACAAATCTAATGTCTGCCAGGTGTGCTCCACCCTTTTCTAACAGTCTCCATCAGTTATGTTGCTCTGTCCTTTTCTGTCAGACCGAAGAAAAACTGGAGACATGATTTTATCCTTTTTAATTTTCTGAGCTGCTGCTTTACGAATAAAGAAGGAGCTGTGGTGCAATTATTATTATTTTTTTAATCAAAATTGAGTTATCTAAATCACTTTCAAATTTCTTGCTCATTATAGAAGAGTTTGAAAGAAGACAAGTTAATTTTTCAAAGCTACTTCAAATTACAATTTGAACGGCTCTTCTGGTACCAGTTTCAGTGTCTCCTGGGAAGATGTAAAAAATACATGTTTTTGTATGTGTGTGTGTTGTATTGTTTATGGATGTCAGTCAGAGTGTGTGTGAGTAAGAAACAATGAGTCAGTTTGCAGCCAGAGGCTTTATTTGAGGCATCAATTAAAGGAGTTAACGAGTTTGTTTAATGAGATGAAAACTCTGCTCGTGTTTCCGACGTCACTCGCACCAGAATGGGCTGCTCCGGCAAGAAATGAGGTCAAACATTGTTTTTGTCCCCTGAGTTGTCACAATTTCTGTGTCTTATGTTATTTCTCACTACACACATCTTTTTTTTCTTGTTTCTGGTATCCTTTACATCATCTTTACAAAAAATATTGGTGCGTTTGAGTCAAACAGATTGTGAGGCTTGTTGGCATTCCTGGTGAGTAGAAAACACCATCCCAACCTATTTTTACCTGTTTTCTTTTTTAAACTCAAACAACAGAAAGAAAAATTGGTTGAAATTCTGGTGAGATTGAGACTTGGATTTAGAGTCTTTAAATGTGATTAGTCAAGAATATGATTTAAAATACTTAAAACAGTTTAAAAACACTTCAAACATTAAACAATCAATGGAACATTTTTAAAAGACTTTATAACTTTCAGTATAGTTTGTAAAGAGAAAGATGCAGTTAAAAAAGTAAATGTGTTATTTCTAAATCCAGTTGAGTGGAAACAGTTGACATGATTTTTTTAAATTAAATCCATTATATCATTTTTTTTGAATATCCACTGTCTTGCTAATCTTAGCATTTGGCTATGGTTTGTCTAATTTTAGCTAAGTTTTGCTACATTTAGCTTGTAGTTATACTTCAGCTGATTTTAGCCTTTAGCTGCTTTGCTGAGTTTTTTGCATTTCTTCAACTTCTTAAGCCTGTGACATGCATATTCTTCAAAAACAAAAAAGTCAAAGAAAACATCTTTATATTTAAGAAAGTTGGAATAATACACACGATTTAAAACATTTTGTCCCATAAGTGGCAAATTTTCTTTTGAACTTGGCTCAGCCAAAGTGAAACAGGAAGTGACATCAAAGAGGAACTCTTTAACAAAGAAAACTCTCTGGTCTTTGTTTATTGTAACAGTATTATTTGAACTCTGACTCTTCTTCATCTCTCTCTGACAGTGACTCAAAATAATCTTAAGAAACATCAGATTCTTCTCTACAGTCTGTCGTTAGCCATTTTAGCACTACTCTGTTCACATGCAGACATTCCCCTTTGACATCACTTCCTGTTACTTCACAGGCAAATATCTCAACAACTAAATTTGACATCACAGGCACTTTTAAGGATTTCTTTTAGCTGCGTTTCTTCATCAAAGTCATTCACGTTTCAGTTTTACAGAACATTAGTTTTCTTCATTTTATTATTTTACACTAATGTGTTTTTAAGGGATGCGGTTCAAAATGTTTACCAGCTGCCATCACCTGGAGCAGAGGTCTTGAACCCCGTTCCTCAGGACCCAGGTACCACTATCCTGCATGTTTTAGATGTTTCCCTGCTTCAACACACCTGACTGAAATGAATGAGAGTGATTGACAGGCTTCTGCTAAACTCGATGACATTCTGAGTTGGTCATTTAATTTTTTGAATCCAGTGTGTGGAAGCAGGGAAACAGCTAAAACACTGGGTCACAAAGAACAGGATTTAAGATCTCTGATCTAGAAAATCGTGTCTCATAACTTTAAACCAAACAAGAAGTTTTAATGGGTAACAAAATATAATAAACTAACAAACAAAATGTTTTTCTTTTCTTTGCACCACCTTCATAACTAGTTGATCAAACAACAAAGCTCTTATTAGAACAGAAAACTGCACAAACCAAATGGTCATTTGCTGCTGTACAAACTGTGTGCGTCAGGTTGTTGCTCTGAATTTGTGTGTGTTTGCTCTGTCCTGTGTTGCGCAGCAGACTTCGGGACCATGAAGACGGTGGTGGCTCTGCTGCTTCTCTGTCTGTGCGATCCTGGACGCAGTGACTGCCAGGCAGACTGCCTGTCCTGCAGCAAAATCCTGCCCAAGCAGCTCGGTTTCAACACCATGGTGAGATTAATGTAGACAGAAACACAACCAGTCAGTGAGACTGCATGGGAACGTTAACTCAAAGGCAAGAATAACATTCAAGCAAAAACAGACGGTGCTCAGACAAATAAATCCATTTTTTCCATTGGAAAATAAAACAGTTTAATTCCTTCACAGCAGCACTTTTTGACATTTGAGTTTTGTTGTGGTYAATTAAATATCTGAGGTCAGATGTTTGTTTCTTCTCTCTCGTTTCTTTCTGGTTAAAGACACATTTGTGTCTGAGACAATTAAGTGCAGATAGCTTCAAACATTAACCTCTGATCCATTAGTATTTGGCTCTTATTGAGCTGTACGAACCCCCACTCATCTTTGAGATAATTAAATGTAATGCAGGCATAAATTTATGACTTTTTGCTTATTATTGCTCACTAGCAATGACCTGTGGTGCATGTGTGTTCATTTTTTTTGTAGCTCCAGAAAAATATTTCATGAACCAGTGGACAGATTTTATTAAGACTTCTAAAAAAATTAACAAACATGAAAATGACTGAAACTTGACCTGTTTTAAACACATTTAGCTCAGTTTTTGTGTTAGTAGCTGAGAGTGAATCTCACTGTGAGCCTTAACCATGCTGTTGGAATGAAATGTCTTCTTTTGTTAGCCAAATTCTTCATGAACCACAAGATGGATTTTGATCAAAGTGTCAAAAAATAATCTTTTAATGTACATCTAGCTGAGTGTTTTGGAATCAGCCTGACTCAAGATGGCTACCACAGCCAGCTGGCCTTAGGAAACACAAAAAATGGCCACAACTCAGGCCTATTTACAGATATTTGACTTTATTTGATGTGATTATTATCCCCAGTACATACTTCAATTGCTAAATGCTTTGCAGTATTTTTGCTTAAAACTTTGCTGGTGTTTACTTTGGTTGTTAGCAGATGATCTCATTAACCAATGAATGCATTTTAATGAAACTCACAGACAGTATTTACTGGATGTACAGCTACAGCTCATTCACTTTTGGAGTCAGCCCAGTTCAAGATGGCTGCCACAGTTGGTTGATGTTGGTTACAAATGAAATTTGGTTGGTATGAGCTGAGAGTCAACTTTAACACATTCTCTCAGCGGTATCACATCTTGCAAGATCTCAACAATTGAGCATAATACATTGAATTTAAATGTACAAACTTGCATATGGGGTACTCGGTATAAAAGTTACTGACAATAAATAGTTTATCTTATCGTAGCATCAGGCTGGAACGCAATCAAATTGCAGCCATACTTTCTGAACTAATAGCTCTCCTCTGTGAGGCTGGTGTGTTAAAGATCAAAACAGAAATGAGTTTGATCTCCTGTCTTTGTTTCTGCCAGGTGTGTCTCTTTGAGTGCACTGAAAACGTTTCCCCTTCCTTCTCCTGGGATCTGTGTCGTAGAGCCCTTTCGTCACCCACTTCCTCCCTGGATGGCAACATGAGGAAAAGATCTCAGGAGGAAGCTGAGGTTCTATTTCCTGGGGAAGAGGAGCAGATGGAAGGGGGCCTGCTTCTACCCACTGCATYACAGAGGCTCGACCATGTGGCCCAGGATCTTGGCCTTCACCAAAAGGGTCTGCCTGGCAGTCAGCTGAGCGTGGCCTACGATCCCCAGAATGCTTTGTCTTCCCTTGAGGATGATTATGAAGATAAGGAGGCAGAGCAGGAGGATGAAGATGCTGGCGTGGGAGCAATGGAACTGGGTGATCCACAGCTGAGCRTCTCCAAGAGATTTGGCGGCTTTGTCAAAGGACTGCACGGCTACAGGAAACTGACATCTCCAGGAAGGTCATACCAGAAGAGATACGGTGGCTTCACTGGTATTCGCAAGTCAGCGCGCAAGTGGAACAACCAGAAACGTTTCAGTGAGTTTCTGAAGCAGTATCTGGGGATGACCACTCGGGCCAGCGAGTTCAAAAGCCTGTCGGCTGACCTCACCCAGCAGAATGAAGTGTAGCATAGTGCACCTTCAAACCTGTGCCATAAAAAGAATAATCTGATGTGTTTTTACTGGCCTTGGTTTGCATTAAACTGATCAGTCTCTCAGCATTTATTTTCAAAACAGATGTACTCGAGAAAAGAAAAATCCAAACTTTTTACCGAGCTACCATCAGAGTCCTTATCATCATAGGTCAGGAAAACATTTGTTTTTCCATCTTTTTTGTTTCTGTTCGTGAAAATAATCAAACTCTCTTTGAACACGTTTTAATGAAACTTGATTGTCCAGAGTTGGGAGTAAAATGAGAAAAATGAAAATAAAAAGTTAACATTGATCCGTTGGTTTATGTCTCCATCTAGTGGCGAAATTTATATAACAGTCTCATGTGGATTATGATGCAAGTGATGTATWTACTTTTTATGTTGTTATTTTCTTATTGCTTCTAAAATCATATAAATATCAGTAGAAACACTCTGTTGTGATTTATTTTTAATTAAAAATCCAGTTAAAAATTGTTAGTTTTTAAGGTATCTGCCCCGAAACACACCTCAGACCAGAACTCAGAGGCCATTTGAAAGGATGAATAACCACAAGACTAGACAGCATGCAACCATCACTTAAACATTATGACACTAATCAAGCCTAATTAACTTATAATGTGTAAAAGTGAGCATAATCTTTGACTGGCTTTTGTGTGTGAATATTTCAGTCATGTATGTACAAAGTGTCTTTGAACTGTTCTGATGTAAAGTGTTTCTGTATACCAGTATGAAACCTGTAAATAGCTGAATTTAAACATGCCAATAAATATAGTTTACTATTTCCTTTGTGGCTTGTCATGCAAAAACTGCTTCTGTGTGTGGAAGTATGTTTGTAAGATTTATATTTTCATTTGTGTTTCTTTAAGTAATTTTATATTTGGAAGAAAAACTATAAAATGACGTCGTCTAACATTTATGGTAAGGTTAGAAATACTGATAACCTGGTAAAATGTGTTATTCTTTTCCTTGTCAAGTAAAGGTCCACACTTGATGTTTTCATATGACTTCTTGCATAAATCYAATAAATAGTAGGAGGCTTGTTTGCAATTTAAACTGGTAATAAATTGTTTTTATGAATTACAGTCAAATTGTTTTCAGAACAATGAACAATAGACACATGTTTGTTACATAGGCAATTTGTAAAGTGACTTGAGTGTAAAATAATTATGACAAGAGTAAATCTTGCACCCAAAGTGAGTTTATGGTCAAGTCAAAATAGATTTTTTTTGAGAATCTAGATAGATTTTTTTAGTAGTATTATTTCAATTAATTAAAGTGAAGCCTAATAAAGAAAACATCATAATCGAACACACTTTATTACAATGAAATTCCGATTTTTCTGTTGGCTCAAAAACAAACATATGCCCGTTTTTCTAACCACACATTATACATTATATCAATATACATTATATTAAGTTTGTAAGCACCTAAAATTAATAAAAAAAGTTGCTTCACAAAAGATATTTTATATACAGAAAATACACTAAACTTAAACAAAAAGCATTGCTCTCTTTGTAGCTCTGTCTGTTTAGATGTGATGTTCTTTTGAC